GATCCAGGACTGGCCAAGTGCGTCCACTTTCTTCATCCTTTCGGGGCATCTGCTGGAAGTGGTCGACAAACTCATTTACCTTGGCAGTTGTCTTAGTATTGGTGGTTTGACAGATGAGATCTTGAGCATCTCCAAGTCGAGAGTAGCCATTGCTAACCTCTGTCACCTGTGGCGTCGTCGTGCCCTCAACATCGTTCTGAAGGGCCGAGACTAAAATGTTGCGGTACGAGCTGTCCTGTTGTATAGCTGCGAGACTCGGTCCGCTCGCAAGAGTGATGTCCAGCGTATATCTGTCTTCGATAACCGCTGCTTGCGGGACATTGCTGGTGCTCAATAGCAGCATCACATCAGTAATAAAAGGATTCATCGGCAAGTCTTCAAATGCGACAAAACCCACCGATTGATCGACAGCATCAGTTGACTGCGGAGGCTTCACTGGCTTTAGCATGAGCTGCTCATGCTTACCCGGCGACTACCAAGACATGCTCTCTTCACGCAGGCTGGAAGTGACGACAATGAGACCAGTGGAAAACCTTGATCCAATGAGCCCAAGTGAAAAGGTTGAAACCGGGCGTTCCCGACTCCTGGGTTGGGGACCCAAGGGGCGCGAGCACAACTGGATTAGGCGAAGGACCGTACGCAATGGCACACTTGGTATGAGACTTATTCTCCAACTGTCGTTGTTGTTTTCAATCTACTGTCTCTTCTTATGTATTGTGTTGAATGTATATATATATATATATATATATATATACATTCAACACTATATATATATATATATATATATATATAGCACCAGAGGACAGCTGGTTGAGCAATGTGGAAAGGTCGAAATTAATGGGAAGGATGAAAAATGGTATGTGGTAAAGTGTTATGCAAAGTGTTAAAATACTGCGACCGACGCGCCTGTGGTGATGCAGAAAACATACGGGAAAGGTCCTTTGTCGAAACACAAGTACTTCAGCGACACAAAACGTTCAAAGAAAAAAGATAGATTGTCGAAGATTAACAGCGGCCATCAAATTCTCACACTTCAAACGAAAATTGATTTAGACTCAGTAACATCCGAGTCTTAAAGTGATGGAAGATCAATTGAGATTTCCAAAACCTGATGAGAATGAAATCATTAGGAAAAAGCGCAGACGTGGAGAGTTTTTGGCAAACTAGCTTTTAAAATTTTCATCGAAGGATAGAAAAACACTTCGGTTTCTTGTGAGATCCTGGACGGTGTAAAGACAGAATTGAATTTTTTTGTGAAAAACTGATAACCGATGTAACGTAGGTATTCGAGTGTGATGCGATGAGGAGAGAACTTTGAGTGACAAACTGTTGAGTATTTGGGGTAAAAGAAAACCGAAGGAATTAAACAATGCTAACAGTTATTTTGTCTCCAAGAGCGTTGTCCATAAAATTGTATCAACCGGACAAGCGGTCACCGCTGTAATTTATGTGGAAGTGAAAGAACGGCTGAAGAAAAGGGTCGTGCTCACTCGCCTGGAGATTGTCGACATATCAGTAATCAGACAAGAAAGTGCGCCGGCTCGTGAGTCATATTTATTCTACACATTAGTAGGAATGAGCAATACATCGGCTATTGTACTACAATACAATGCAGTAAGATATTCGAAAAAAGAAGCATAAGTAGTACAAAGCACAAAATGGAAAACAAGTAATAGTACACTTATTTATTAGTATGAATCTAGTCTGAGATCGTGGTTGGGGGAAAGCGAAGCGGGAGGGGCGGTATAGAGAAACACACAACTCAAATGACACTGAGGTAGGCTCTTAGCCATGGCAAGAAGTATATGCATCCAAATGTGGTCATCGACCTTAGGATCCCAGCCCGGTAGTCCATATCCGTCAACCGAGGCCAAGTTCGAAGCGAGGGCCTTCACTTTTCTTGACAAGGTCATCGCTTGATCTCCACCCTTCTTGTTTCACCCAGGACCTCGGTCCGGCAAACAACGCATGACGCGGGAGTCGGTGTGTGGGCATGCGCAACATGTCGCCCAGCCATCAGAGCCCGTCGCGTCATATAATAGTGCTGAGCGGTTGAATCGCTCTCCCTGCGCCACAAATAAGATGGCGAACACGCACACTGCTCAGGCGATGTTCCCATCCGATGCGACTTAAGCTGCGAAAGTACCGGTGGTCGAAGATAACAAGTCTCCTCACATTTATCGATTTGATGGGCCAGGTTTCATAACCGTAAAGGAGGGTTGAAGGTACGAGTGAATTGTAAACTCTACCATTCAGGGCTAGAGTAACGTAGGGTCGGCGCAAAAATTGGCGACGTACGTGCAAAAACGCTTCGGGCTTTTGTCACCTTATCTTCTGTTCCACAGCCGCCCAGGTGATTGAATTGCTAAGCGACTTCAAGCTGATCCCCAACAAGGGTCGGTGCAGGGAATGTTCCCTGTAGCTGGAGAATGAAAAAGAAGGCCTGGAAAGATTGACGGCTACTGCTAATATATCCAGCGCCGCTTGGCAGGTTTGTGATCTGTCACAGATTATCTCAATTGGACAATGGAAAAATGGCGAATCATGGGGAAAACGTTAGTACCGAACAAGTTTCATCAGATGGACGAAATGAAAACCAAAAGTGGACAGAGAAAGCGCGACGCTAAAAATGGAAGTATTTTGGTAAACTCACCGTAGTGTTTACACTGGGGCATGATTAAAGCAGCCTACCTCGAATGGTTAGGGAGTGATGCTTGTTGGTGACCAGTTTCACATTATATAGTATCTCGATGTACACAGTCTAATGGCTCCTATTGTAGTGGGGTTAAGGTAACGCCAAGGTGCTTTTTGAACACACAAAGTGGGGACAGAAACAACATATTTTGGGACGGCGTTCCATAGCTGGAAGAGTACCGTTGACATTCTAACCGTCTGTGTTTTGTGGCCAATTGGTGACCCATCAGGTTCATATTGTTTCCAAGTTGCAGTAAGTGGTGACAGAGGTGCTTGAGATTCCTCAGAATATGATAGGTCATTAGTACGTAGGCACGCAGGAACTGATACTGACCGCTGCACAGTCATATAGTTCTCAGCCTGAGTTGGTATGGAAGGTGAACAACCCTTTGACGTGATCTGTAGTTCTTCGCTGTGGAGTCTCGAGTGCTACGAGATCTTTCTTGTGCCAGGGTTGGATTGCGGTTTCCACATGAGGCCGCATGTATGTGCTAAGCAACGGTGGACAGACGGATAGATCAAACCGCCCGAATGCCCTCCACAGCATGCCAGCGTGTTGGTTCCCGGATTTTGGCGTCTTCACAGATTGTTCTGAGCAACGCAAAATCAGCCTAAATTAGTATCACAGGGTCGTGCTCTAAGTCAAGAAATCGATCACATGGAAGCAGCTCTGCACAGTTCAAGTCGCGTTCAACGAACGCAGTATCAATGAGAGAGAGCTTTTCTGACGAGGCAAACCGTGGAAATGCAATGTCGACCCCTCTAGTACCCGAGCTTGGCCTCTGCTGACTTGTTCTGTTTCCCCGGCTCAAGCTTGGTCTGAGGAGACACAATTTGGGATTGCTAAAACATACAAACTGTCGTGACAAGTGCTTTGAAATAGACCCCGTTCAAGGGTTTCAGGTGTGCTATGAAGCGTGGTGAAAAACACCGGTAACCGTATAACGCAACGAAGGAAGTTCATAGAATTAGTAGGTTGGCGATAAAGTTATTGCGGTTTTTTGATATTTTTAACAGCTGTTTTTAAATAACTTTTGAATAAGTTGCTTTCATCTTGTATATCATTTTGAAGCCTGTTTTTGCGCGCTTTATAGCAATAGTGATAGTTTAGCTCGAAAACACAGTTTTACATATTTACAGAACATTTAATGCAACATGGACAGAAGATAGATTCGCACAATCTTCTTGTAGCAATTTAAGATTGGCCGAAATGCAGCGGAAACAGCCATGGCAACAACTGTGTATTTGTACTGGAACCACTAATAACCGTACTGCACAGTGGTTTCAAAAATTTCGTAAAGGTTACGAGAGACTTGAAGATAAAGAGCGTTGTGGACGGTCACTGGATGTGAACAACGATCAATTAAGGGCCTTAGTTAAAGCGAATCCGCATAAAACTATTAGAAACCTTGTTGCTGAATTAGCAGTATTCCACGTCACAGATTTAAAATATTTAAGGGAGACTGGAATGTGGAAAAAGCTTGATAAATGGGTGCAGTACGAAGTGAATGAAAATTAAAGAAATCGTCGTTTTGAGGTATCGTCTGCTCTTCTTCTGAGCGAAAAACGACCCATTTCTCGACCGGACTGTGACTTGCGATACAAAGTGGATCCTTTACGACAATCGGCGAGGAACTTCACAACAGCTGGACCATGATCAAGTTCCATAACCCTTCCCAAAGACGAAATTGCACACAAGCAAGATTAGAGTGACTGGTGGTCTGCGGCCGGTCTGATCTACCACAGCTTTCTGAATCCAGGGGAAACCACTACAGTGGAAAGTATTGTCAACAAATTATCGAAATGCATCGAAAACCTCAACACAGGTGCCCGGCACTGATCAACAGAAAGAGGTAAATTATTCTCCATGATAACGCACATCCGCACAAACAATCCTGCGGAAGCTGCACGAACTAAGCAACGAAACTTTACCTCACTCGCCGTACTACCCTGACCACTCGCCTAGCGATTACTACTTTTTCTAGCACCTGGATAACTACACATGAGAGGAAATTATTAAAATCGACGATTTCATCGCCATCGGAACACCGGAATTTCACTCATCCGGGATAAATAAACTTAGTCCCAGTTGGCAAAAGTGTGCAAATTAAACGGTTTTTATTAAGAATAAAAACGGTACGTTTTAGCCAAGGTTTGTGCACTTAAATTCTAAGATTGAAAAGAGCAACAACGTTAGTACCAAGCTAATAGTTTCACCATTTTTGGGACAGATACTGTACTGCATGCGGAAAACAATAAACACCACGATAGAAACCATCAGATGAACGGGAAACAGAAAATTTTACCGATCGTAGACTGGTAGACGCCAAGCAGCACTCATTCTCAAGATCTGTGAAGTGCTCAACTGGGGCCAATTTACGAAGACGGCGGTCACCGGATATTCAGGATGAGACAAATCTGGGTTGGTCCGTTCGTTCGTCAAGGTTGCGTCGCGTGGCAGACGTTCAGCATGATAACGCTCGACCGTGTCGGTGACCTCCTCCCATATCCCTCGTGTGAAGAAAGTCGGCCGATTGTTGCGAACAGAATGCTTCACCTTAAATGAAACCTAAAAGGAGGGTATAGAGATCATGGATTCACATTTCGAAAGCATAGACATATGCAGAATAAGACTTGATCCGGGAAAAAATGGGTTCACCATCATCATCATTATACAAGTTAGCTGCAGGTGGAAAACACCTCAGCTATTGTGACGCAATAAAATAGGACAAGAAGAAAAAATACAGTGGCACGTTGACTGAGTCCCCAGTAACGGATGGACATCGTTCCGGAGAGCTAAAAACCGGATATCGTGCCGCAAAAAGTTATAATATGCCTTACGAATGCGATCGTGATTGGAGGGAGAGCCTAAGCAGGAGGGGGATGAAAAAAGGAACTCACAACACAAACGCCACTAGGGCCGGCTCCTAGTCATATCAGCAAGTGTTTCCAACCAAACGTGTTCATCGTCCTAAGGACGCCAGCCAGGCAATCGGGATGCACCAACCGACGCCAACTTCGAAGTGAGAGTTTTCATCTCTCTCGACCAAGTCATCGCTTGGCCTCCCCTCCTCCTCTTCCAACCGCACACGCAGCGCGCAAACAATGCACGTCGCGGAAGTCGGTGTGCTGGCATGCGCAACACGTGGCCCAACCATCGGAGCCTGGTGCGTGATATAATGGTGCTGAGCGGTTCACACACTCTCACTGTACCAAACACGCTCATTGCTCATGCGATGCTCCCACCAGACATGAGCTAAGCTGCGAAGGCAGCGATAAGCGAATGTGACGAGCCTCTTTATGTCTGTCGACCTGATGGGCCAGGTTTCAAAATCATATGGCATAGATGAACAGACGGCTGCATTATAAACACTGCTCTTCAGGGCGAAGATAATGTCACGTCTGCGCTACAGGTGGCGGAGATTGACAAGAGCACTCGAGTTTTTGCTATACGGTTCGTACCTTTATCATCGATCCTATAGGCGCTAATATAGCTGCCCAGGTACTTGAATTCCTGAACGACTTCTAGCTGATCACCACTAAGTGTTAGCGCAGGCTTGGGTCCCTGCCAATCTTGGAGAAGTACTTTGCACGTCGATGGAGTAAAACAGTCGATAACAATTGACAGCCAGTGCTAATCGGTCCAGTGCTGCTTGGTATGTTTGGGAGCTGTCACAGATTAGGGCAATGTCGTCCGCATACTCCAAGTCAAGAAGTCGCTCACTAGGAAGTAGCACCACACCTTCTAGGTCGTGTCCAGCGAACGCTGTTTCCATGACTTCATCAATAGCGAAGTTAAAGAAGAAAAGTGATAGTTGGCAACCTTGTCTCACACCGCTGGTGATACTGAAGGGTGGCGACAGTTTGCCATAAACCCTCACTCTGCGCATACAGTGCTTTGATAATGTTTACATATTTATCAGGCACAGCATTCCCCAGCAGACAGTCTCAAAGGGCACGTCGATCGACTGAGTCGAAGGCACCTTTTATGTCAAGAAACACGACAACAGTGAGTCGCCAATAAACAAGGCGGTGCTCTAACAATTGATGCAAGGTGAAGATGTGGTCGATGCAGCCCCGACCTCGACGAAACCCGGTCGCTCTTCATGAATCTGGATTTCACGAGTGCCAGTCAGTCTGTGGAGAATGACAGAGGCAAGCAACTTAAAGGCAATTGAAACCAGACTGATCTCTCTATGATTGCGGCATTCCAAACGGGAGTTTCCCTTGAAAATTGGGACAATGACGGAGCGGTTCCAGTCTGTCGGGACAGTCTACTGCTCCCAAAGTTTCACTAGCAACTCTTGTAAATCATCTATTAGAGCAGGTCGCCCGAATTTGAAAAGCGCCGAGAGAATTCGATCTGCCCCTGCGGCCTTATGCAATTTCAACAGCTTGATCTCACGTTCGACTTCTGCGCGCGAGGGCGGATCCAAGGAGACGGCCCAGAGAGAAAGACGCTCAATGACCGACAAAGGAAGCCTTGCAAAGTGTTCGGCCCAACGCTCCAAACGTTTTGACAGGCTGTGGATCGGCTGCTCACTCTCGTAGTGTATGGCCTCAGGTCTCCTGCTGCCTGTTTCCCGTATCAGACGGAATAACTCATGATGATTGCCAACGGTAGTGGCTGTTTCCATCTCAGAGGCACGAAGAGACCACCAGGTTCCGCGGTCTTTCTTCAGGCTAGCACGTAGTTTTGCCCTGAGATTTTGGCGAGCCTCACTGCATTCGCTTCTAGCCGGAATACGTCGGCGAGCATCCATAAGCTCCAGAGACTGTGTAGAGACCCAATGTCCGGTTTGGCAATTTGCTTTGCGACATGAAGACATGCCTGCTAACAGTAACGGTTTACGAATATGCGACCAGTGATCTTTGACGGCGTTTAAGTGCGCTTACCAGTCCAGATGTCAGCGTACTTTGATACACATTCAGAACACCTGGCTTCGCCAGGTGGCTGGTGTCAATCCGTTCACATCGACGTTGCGGACGTTCACCGAAACGCACCCGGACGTCGGCGCAGACAAGTGCGTGGTCAGAGTCCACGCTCATGCTCCAAATCTATTGACAGTTTTAGACACAGCCTCTCCAGTGGTAATTGATCGCGATATGATCCATTTGCGTCTATGGGTGGCCCGAGGCTGGTGGCCGCGAAGTCACGCTTCTGCGGGTGCGGTGTCGAAATTTTGTGCTCGAAAGAGGCGAGCATCTTCACACAGCTGCAGCAATCGCTCGCCGTTATCATTATTACGGCGAGCGATTGCTACAGCTGCCTACACCATGTTGGCCGCCCAGAAGAAGCCCATTATAGGACAGTTTGCCGACTTGGGCGTTTAACTCGCCAGCCAACACCACAGTATCTGTGCTTCTTCTGTAATGAAGGAGATCGTGAAGTTGCTGATAGAAATCATCTTTCACCGAACCAGTACTACAGTTTGTAGGGGCGTAGGCCACAATGACAGACAGGCACCGTTTGTCCCCGCGCGACTTCGTAGCATGGAACGAACCAGCCAATCTAACGGCGCACATCCGACTTGACTGGGATCCAAACAATCAGGGCAGCTTCAGCCCGGGGACTCAAAACAATGCCAATGCCACCTTGACCGGCATTTGAAGCTGCATCATCGCCAGACATGCGCAATGAGAATGTACCGCCAGTGTCGCATGTGGGTGATCGCAGGGTAACCATGGAGTTCGAATCTTGCAGGCGGGTTTCTGATAAACAGCAAATATCGAACGATAGGGTATCTAGTGTGCGGGCAAGTGCTGCCTGCTGGCCAAGCTGCAGTAAAGTGCGCAGGTTGAGGCATGCCAGTCTTAGCGAGAAGCGAGGACTCCAAAGAGAAACGGATGAACTGATGTTGTCCGCTTGGTTGAACATGGAATTGTCGACTGGATTGGAGCGACGCCCTGCGTATTTATGTGATTTGAAACTAGAAGACAAGCGACTATTGAAGCAAGGTTGGGGAGGGCCAAGAATTTGGGGGTTGAAAATGAGGGGATAAAAGTAAAGTTGGAGCGGGACGATAAGGATGAAAAAGCGCAAGAAGTGGGATAAGAAGACGGGAAGGCCTGGGCAGTGGCATCCACACCCCTATCCATCCTGATCGATGCAGTAGATAGGGCGCCGTTTATTATCATCTGCGAAGGCCAGAGCATCAAGGGTTTATTAGAAGGAAAGGTCATGGCGGGCAGAATACTGTCAGGTTGCCCAGGCCTAGACAGGAGAACGATTAGGGTTCTCAACAAAAGCCTTTGGTTCAAAAAGCTTACCGCAAGGCAGCGGAGTGTTGGCACTGGACTACAGAGAGCTCGTTTTATGGAATAAGAAGCCACCGTCATTTCAACCCCCAACCTGGAGGACCAGGAGGCTGAACTTGTCTGGCCACTAACCATTGACCGATTTTATATGAGTGGCTCTGAAGGTGCAAAAAATGCACCACCCCGCATAGCTCAATGTATCTCTGTAGCACACAAACCATCGCACCACGGTAAGGTCCAGCCTCATTGGGATGGGACCAAGGTATTCACAGCGCTCGGATCGTTGTTAAACGGAAGCTGGCACGGAGTTTTATGAGTCAGACATTCGCATGGTTATGCGAAGTGCGGAATGCATAGGCGAGATGAATGACACAGCACCTTAATAGTTTTGACACTCAAACGGCAGCGGAGCCATCATGAAGAACAAGCTTTTATATATCGGACAGGTTTCTTAAGAGCAAGGTATTATTGCGACAATCGTAAAAAGTAAATCGTACAAAGTATATTCGTAGGATAGCTGCACAACTTGTAACCTCACTCCACCGAAACTTCCTTAATCAGCTCCCACTAATAGGTTTAAACGATAAACGTGGTTGTCGAGTATCGACCCCCGAGAGCAAAAGAAAGTTGAGGCAACGATCAGTTTGGTTTTGAAGAATGATGACATGGTTTATGCTGTGCACAAACCGGAAATGGTCGTCTGCCGACATTGGCCACACGCACGGCTTGTCTCGATCTTCGTTTATTCGCCTAGAGCTACGGCTGGGTACGACAGCGCCGCCTTGTATGTCCGGTCTGTCGTTCCTACCTCGTCTGCGTGTGAGCGTCCCGGCTAAATCGAATCGCCAACGAGCCAACCGCGATTCCTCTCTCTGACCGGTCGATGTGTGCACCTGATTGGCCAATTTACCATACGCTTCTAACTGCCTTTCGCTCAAATGGCTATCCGGCATCATGTTCGCCTGAGACATTTGTAGTTGCAGCCCGTGATTGGCGCGCATGGCTAGGGTCGACTACTCGGCTTCGCTCAAGCGACTAGCTATTAGCACAGAGGTGACCGTATGTGTTCACAATACAAGTATGAGACCATGATTTACTACCTATGAAATCGCTTCGTTAATTCAGTCAGGCACCTCGAATTCCGAGAAGCAAGTCAAGAGAGATGTGTTTTATGCAATTATGAAGAGTGAATGTTCAATTACAACATTGCCAGTCAAGAAGCAACGGACTACATATCAGCTGACGTAATCCATGCGGCCCAGAAGAGAAAATAATGTTGGCGTTCTCTTGATGATGCAATTTACAATCATC